AATTGTTAATTGTTAATTGTTTAAAAATTTCTGAATTTTCATATAATAATTGTAATTTATTAAATGTTTCTCTCTTTAGACGAAGGTATCGCTGAAACTACAATAAATATATTAATTAGGTTATAATATATAGTTTTAATTTATACAAATATCACGTACATTATAAATTTGTGTTAATTTGGAATTTTATAATTATCAATTATTATAATAATAATAATAATTTTTATCAATTTTTATAATAACTTTTATAACGTGTGACTCACTTCTTTATCACTATAACTATTTATAATTTCCACCATATTTTTTACTTTATTAATTTTCGTCTTTTCTAGTTTTAATAATATTTCGCCGTCACTACTGCTACTGGACATGTCCAGTAATTCATTTAATACGATAAATATTTTTTCTGCCATCGTAACCTCTTTGCACCGTCAAAAGCCCTCAGTGCATTCGAGTGCGTCCTATGACAGTGAAACTAGCTCAATCGAACATAAAGAGTTCACTACTGTGGCAGAGTTACCCAATCGAACCCATTTGTATTGACATTAATCTAGCTCAGTTATAAATCGAACACAAGTGGCAGATGCACCAATAGAGGATAACCTCAATCGAAGACGCTAAGGGCCTGAGCACAATAGGGGAACAGGAATTAGATATTAAGATTTTGACCTATCAGAAACTGATTACATCGGAATACACGGTTTCTGATAGGTTGAAATCTTAATATCTAATTCTTGTTCCTCTATTGTGCGCAGGCCCTAAAACTGAGAGAAGGCGCACTCAGTGCACACTAGTGCATCCAATCGAATTCGCCATAAATCACCTCACTTGCTCTGGCAAGGGATTTTTTCGAACGCACTCCTAAAGGTGGTAGTGGGGATGAATGTCGCTTCTCCTATATATAGAACTCTAATTGGCATCGATGAGAAACTATATTAAAGACCGTCAATCCTGGACAAATTTTCGGCGGTATAAAAAGGAGATAATTGAAGAACGCTGACAATTAATATAAATTTACTATTATTAACATAACAAGTATTTGACTAATATTATACATTATTATATAAATTCATAATTTTTTATTATATTGCTCCATAAATAAATATACATTCTTGTAAAGCTATAATATTTTATGTGTTACCGCAATAGCTACATGCTAAAGAATTAATGAAAATTAGGATCGTTATTTTGTCTACAACTTTGTCAACATTTTTTCCTCCTCAATAGTATAATTTAGTCACCTGTAATTTTAAATATGAAGCAGTAAGCACATTTTATTTTTATCATTTTGTTTATAACCAGCAATGTAAGTATATATATTTATGATAGAATAATGAACCGCCACCATTCAGGTCACGTTTGTATATTACTGTCAGTTGACTACCAGTACTAAAAATCTGTAGTATACGTAACGGGAACCATAAATTGTCAATACTGATAGTAACTGGTAGTAATATATAATCATATATGTATGATAAATGTACATAAATCAATTAAAGTCTTAATATCAGAGTAATATTAATTTTAATATTTTATAGCTGTCTTTAGTCTACATGTGCATGTACGTATAATTTTGTAATAATTAACGTCTTAATGACATCTTTAACGTTGAGTGGAAACGTTATAATTAATTATCTGTTAGTTATTATAATCTATAATATGTCACTCTGCTCTTTAATACGTTTTATTGCCACAATATTACTGTGATAAATTGCAGTAATACTATTGTGACATATAAAATATCATGATATTTCAATATTATTTATCAACATGTGATATATTAGTAATATTTCTGTGATATTACGCTGGAATATGTAATATTTCTGATCTTTGCAATATTACTGCGATATTACTGTGATATTATGTGCTATACGGGCATAGACTTTTCTCAAAAATGAGATTGTAATAGTTTAAAAAATTATGATTTTATTGGTCACAAAAAAGTAATGGGTCAACGACCATTCTGAAAAGATATTTATGTGAATAAACTTGCATATAAATTTAACTCGAAAAGTAAACAAAATCTCATCTTGTTTTCGTTCAACGAAGATGTTATAGCTCTTGATTTATACTATCGTATGTTCCATACTCTTTCATTAAGATATACACGTAGTTTTAATATTTTATTCAAATTATACAAATATTTGTAATTTTGGGTGAGCTTTGGTGATGCATCCCAAATTTTCGACACTAAAGAACCACCTTAAAAAACTTCATAGTTTGAAGACATTCGCAATAATGAATGGATATCGTGACATATATGCTTTGTTGCCGTCATATTATAATGCTTAGGATGGAATGATTAATAATTCCTTGCTGTTATGTTGCTGTCATCTTGCCGACAGCATAACGTACCGCTATTGCTGACCGTTTGTTTTTGAATTTTTCGTCAACTAATTGCATGCATAAGCAATTATATTGCTGCATTTTCAACGTGTACTATTTTGATGTCAGCAAATGTATGCCAATTAAATATAAGACAATTCGTACAATGCATCAGTTTGCTCAGTATGTAAAAAAACACGCTTGGTTATCTGGGCTCCCACCTTCGCAGTAAACACCAACTACATACTACATAGTAATTTAACATAATATCAATGTCATAATTTCACATTTTAATTGCAATGTAACGTACAATTTAACATCGCTACGTACAACCTGTACGTGCTATATTATATTTATATTATTGAGTATGAATTAATAACATGAATATTTATGTTACTTTTAGTTAATGTTTACTGGGTATCCATTTTCAAGCTCAGTTCGTTGGAGTCTCTTTAATCTTTAAGAGTTAATTGTTTGAAAACCACAAATGTCAGGATTAAGGAATTGATCGGAGTCTAAAGTCGGTTGAGAAGTAATCTCTACAACAAAGAAACCCAAGACAACCACACTGGGAGGGACTCACCTGTTTCACAACCTGCGTGACGTATACACTCGGGTGCATCACGTGACCTGCTCTACGTCTCGGCTGTAGTAGGTGTAGCGTAGCGTCAACGCGCTACCAGTCAGTGCACCATGGCGACCGCGGTAGTAGCTGTAATGCCTCTGTGAGGGGACGGTGACGTGAGTTACGCAAGGGAGTGACCGCGACGAAAAGTGCGCGTATACGCAAGCATAAAACACAGTGATCAAAACCGCGCCCACGATTCGAGGAAGCTCCAGATGGGAGAGAGATTTGGAGTATCTATGATCGACGATCGACAAAGGCATCAGATCGCCGCAATCGAGAGGCTTTAGCGAATCCGCGAGATTAAATGAATAATTGATCGATCAGCGTCATCAATGACTCAAGGAGATCAACGCGGGTCCACATCAAAATCGAACACGATCAATTTCATCTTAACGGAATTGAAAAAAAAAAGAATTGGAAAAGGAACGACAAAGAAATCGAACGGGCGCGTACACAAGATATAAATGCTGCGTTACGCGCACAGTCCGTTGCCGTCGCCGTCGTTGCCGTGATCCCTCGCATTTAAACCAGCGGGGGTTAACGCTCGAATTTGAAATCGCTTGAATGCGAACAGTGCGTATCTCGCGACGTTTCTTGGGTAGCATCGTTGCCGAAGCGGTTTCCACATCGCGTCCATCGTTACGAGTCGCGTCGCATCGCTTCGTTTCGCTTCAATTAACGCGGCATACACAGGTGTGTAAAAGGCGAGATGTTGATGAAAGGTTGTATGCGGTGAGCCAGTGGTGAATGGTTAGGCTGCGACGAGAATTTGAACGAGCAGCCAACGTTGCCGGATCGATGCGATCGAGGATCGTTACAAAGAACACAAAGCCCCTGCGAGGAATTCGAGTTTAATGTCGCGTCTTTTGAGTTAGAAGTGTACGAGAGATTCACTATTATTATTCAAATTTTCCTCCGATGAAGAGTACAAGTTTTGATTAAAAGAATTTATAATCTTTATGTTACAAGCGATTAAAGAGAAAAAATATTAAGCTTTAAAGATAATCATAAATGATAAAATCTTATGATTTACTTTAAGTTACAACATTTGCGAGAAAGATCAGCAAAATACACTATGAAACATTAAAAAAAAAATTATTGGAAAGCGAGATCGAATCAGAATTTTACGAAGGAGAAATCGATTTGAAATTTATCGAATTACGTCTGCCAAATTTAAAAACTTGATTTAGTATTATTTTGTAATATTTTTAGAACATTTTTAGATCTCTTTTTTTCTTTATCACAATAAAGCAACAGTGTTAGCTCATTAATTTTCGATTTACTATCTTTTCTGTTCTTTATTTGATGATAATAATAATAATAATAATCTTTATCGCTACTGTACAGTACTACTGAGATGTAAAAGGAATGAAAAGAAAAAGATGAAATAAATGCAAGAGATAGTGTAGTATAAACAATCTTTTCTTTAAGAAATTATTATTACATATTATTCAATTATTATTACATATCATTCAATGTTTACTGTCAGACATCGTAAGTTTTGAGAAGCGTTTCGATAGTTTCGTTAAAGTTCTCCAATTGTTCTCCAGAAACGATTTGCCGGATGGTACGATAATGTATCAGGAAGAGCAATAAGCGTCTCTCGAAACGGATAATTGTCACCCAAAGCTTGCTTTGACCAGTGAAAGTATCAGATGTTGCGTGGCATGAAAAGGAAAGACGTCTTCTGACTGACATACGAATCCGATAGACGAATGACGCGTCCGTGAATCGCTCGGTGATAAGCGGATGATTCTCGCGAAGCTTCGTCAACGCGAACGTATCTCGGTTTGTGTGTTTGCGTAATACTTAACTAGTATATGCACTCATCTTGAAAGTCGTAAACTAATGTATCGAGAAATCGCATGGAAACCACTTGTTGAGTTCCTTACGAAAATGTCAATTACGCTAATCGTCAATTCTTTTTGGACGTTCCATCCCTCAAAAGTGATGTTCCCGTTTTAGATTTAATAATAAATCGAGGACTATATATATACAGTGGATGGATTCTAACTCTGAGTTCAGTAAGAGAGTTCAGTGTCTCATCGAATTCTAAGCGAATGGATTTCCGTTAAATTAGGAAACCAAACTTTTTTACTCTAATCAGGGAGAAAGAAGAAAAAGAAGGCGATTTAAATTACCTAATATCGAAAGCATATACCGAAGAATGCAACGGTTGTGGATTTCGCTGTCGATCCTGGCCGTTCTGGCTAGAGCTCTTCCAGATGACAGATTCAACCAAACATCAATTTATTACACAATTCCAATAAACGAGAGCGAGACAAACGGCAGCTGGAATAATGGCGGTCTTTTCGAGGAGCATGGTGGCCGCATTATTCGAGATCAAAAAGTGTTTGAGAGATCGAAGAGTCCTTACTTGCTGCGAGAGGATTTGTTTATTGAAAAGGACGCCAAACTCATTATAGAATCCGGCGTGGAGATTCGTTTCAGTCCGATGATCGGCATCACTGTCCGCGGTATCATAACCGCCAAGGTAATAATCCGTAAAAATTGCAATAGAGATTTCTAAAAGGTTGAATGAACACCCTCCTAGAGAAAGTCCGGCTTTGTTCTCGAGACGAGAACAAAGACGATTATCTGTCAAGATCTTTAAATCACATTGCTGATGTCAAACATGTTTTTCTTGAGCGTAATATAATATTTAGAGTCTCATTGTCTAGTTGACAGTGTTAGAGATTTCGTCATTAAGATAACACTTCTGAAAATGTCCTACACTTAAATACGTTTTCGAAATATCTGTAGATAGAAAGTGTGAAGAAGAGCAGAACCGGTCACAAAAACGTCAAAATGATATTGACTGTATTCAATAGAAGAAGCAGTTTTACAATTGTGTGTTGTAAATAGTAGTAATGTAATCTTCTTACGGACTCTCCCAAATTCAACAACCAAAAATCCAAAAAACCAGGCAAATGAGAGTTAGCGTGATAATTAATCTTCTACGCAATCTTAAATCTTCAATCCAGAAAATAAAATCTCTATTCCAATAAACATAATAGTACGTTTCAGTTCACTTTGGAACCATCCTCAGTAATACAAATTCAAAAAATCAAAATATCAATCCCTTCATGTCCAAAAAAAATCACCATAAGATTAACAGATTTGATGTTGTAATCCCAAGACATAAAAGGAATTCGTCTCGACATTGGATAAACCAATTACAATTAATATTCACTAAAGAATATCAAAATTAAAAAACACATGTTGATCGTAGCTCGAACGAAACATGACTGTTTTTTTAATCATGTTTCGTTCGAGCTACGATCAACATGCGTTTTTTAATTTTGAAGAATGTTTGAGTTGACTTAATTTGAAATAATTCTTATTATATTAAAATTTGACATGTTGTATATAATTTAATTTTGTATGTAATTTATAAGTGAGCAGTAATCTCCATGAGATGTTGATTTCTCTTCGATTTGTTTGCCACAAGACTAGCATATCTTGAGACAATTATGATAAGAAGAATGGGAGTTGCCACTCTCCAACTCATCTCATGAAGATATTAGTTGATTTAATATTGATAGTCGGATCACTGAAGATGGCTCGAAAGTAAGCCGAAACGTTTGATGTTTTTTATATTTTTTTATATATTTATACTTGAATAAAAAAATCGTTTATATTTTTGCACCAATTACCGCAATTTTGACTCTCAACGCCCGATTTTATTATATTGAAGATTTAAGATTGCGTATTAATTACCACGCTGACTCTTATTCGCCCGATTTTTTGGATTTTTGGTTGTGTGTTATAAGATTTTTTAATATATACATTTAAATTCCCTGATAAAAAAAATTGATAAAGTACGATAGAAAAATCCTATCGTTTTGAATATGGAGTCTGGTACGTGAATTCACTAATTTGATTCAGATTGTATAGGAATCTTATACAAATCTTATAGAATCCGATGAAATATGATAGGATTCATATTCGATCAATCGTGATGCTCGCGAACAATAGAAAATGATATAAACTTATAGAAAATAATACAAACTAATAAAAATCCTATTGTTCTCAATCGTTCTCTATCAACTTTTTCTTACCAGAAAATTGTTTTATAGATTTTTAGAGTCAGTAAGGAACTAAGAGCAAGAACTATAAATCTATAAAAAATCTTGTAAAGCTATTTTTTCTGCTAAACGCAATTAACAATTAAAATGAATTGTGACTAATTGAAAAGTGACTTAATAATTTTAGAGTAATTTTGATATCATTTTGATGTCATTATAATATTTTGTTCTGCTTGGAATACAGCGAATTTTTCAGAAAATACACCTTTTTTTATTCGAAAAAGTTGCAATTCCTTGAAAAAATTCGTTGCTAATGAATAACTCATATTTCCCTAATGCCTTATCGTATACATTGTCATGCTTGCTCCAGATGAATTCTGATAAATATCGTGTGAATAGTCTTTTTGTTCTTAATAAATCCCCTGTTTGGTTTTCCGACTCACTATGACTCACCATGTGTATACCATGCGATACATTTGCGTATATCCTCCTCGGAGAGCAGAGGACACGCTTTGTATAAAAATCACGAGTATAGTATCCCTTCTACATAAAATTCGTCTTTTCTGGTCAGGTCTTTACATATTTTTAATCACACCTGACTTAATCAGTAATATCAACTAATGCAATATTGCCCCTTAAGCGGACTCACTAGCATTTAGCTTGTAGTTTCACAGATAGAGTGATTATATAAGTATATTTGTAATTTATGTATCAATTTTCTCCAGAATGAGCCATGACAAACTTATATTATGGTTCTTCACTCATTACTGCTGTGAAATTTTATATAGCTTGTATGTAAAATAATTTTTTTTTATGATGAAGTGCGATTTGTTTACATATACATTCAGAATGGTATAATTGAACTCAAATATAGCGTTTCAAGCTAACTATATCATGAAATTAAAATGAGCCGATATATCGGTTTTTTCCGGCGGTCTAAAGGTTAAAAAGTTTGCTGTTTTATCTGTGTGATAAGTTAGAAGGCTTAAGGCCATTGCGAATTATACAAAAGGGATCTATTTGAGTATTTACTTTGAATTGATATACGATACTATATAATGTAATTATATAATTTTAATAAGCGAAGCCTTTGCTCCCCAAGGGGGGGGGGGGAGATTATAAGTGGATCCTTGATCCATTCTTTGTTACATGGTACTGTGATTCTTTGTATTAGGTCGGAAATCAAAAGAAGGGCTTTAAGAAGAAAAAGAAGAAGAAGAAAAAGCAGAAGACCACCCAAGGCACCTGTAGCTTCTCGTGCCATCGTGTAAATAGTCTCGTTCCCTGTAAAGTTCAGTATCGTCATAGTCATATAACGTTGCGGTCCACGAGTACTAGATTTTCCAACCGTTACTTTTGTTTGCTAATAGTGCTCTGTTGAAGTTGTATAAAGTACTCTCGGAAGGAGTACGTTTTCGCACAACGGGTTATTCTCGAGCGTACATCTTATTGTGCCTTTAAAGAGTTTTATTAAATTATACGTGATTCTTTTTAACTTGATTATACTATAACGTTACTTTAACTCTAAACAAGATTTATAAAACTCTCTCTCTCTCTCTCTCTCTCTCTCTTCGACTTTAGAAAGAAAGTAAAAATTTTAAGCTTACCTTAAAGTCAAAGTAACATTGGTAGAATCGGGTCTTAATTATCTACATTATCAATAAGTACAAGATTGAAAGATAAAGATGAACTCTGGTCCTCACCTTCTATATACAGTACACAGTTGGAAAATTTGTGTCAAATTTACATAAATTTTCACATTTCACATGTCCCAAATGATCTATTCAAATTTTTACGTTAATTTTATATACATAAAACGAATATATTAGAAAGTGACACAAATACATATATTATGTAAAAAATTAAACCATAAGAAATATATCATATTGACGCAATTTGAAAACAAATTGTGAAATATTTCTTCAGTAAAATTAACATCCTTATGTTAAATTAACAGTACATACAAGGACAGTATTTATAATGATATCTCCCATACATCATGATATTTTCACAGAATTAAACATGATTTAACATTTAACATTTTATTAATATTCATTTATCTTAATAATTTACGCGTTTAAAATATATTATTTTTATGTTATTTGTTCATTTACTCAGAAATTGTATTATTTTAACACTAAAAAAATGTTGAACATAAAATTAATTTAACATAAAATTCAATTAACAGAATCAAGAATATCAAATTTAACGTAATCACATTATATGAAATTAACACTCGAATATGTTAAAAATATTCAATACAAAAACATTTAATGAAGATAAAATAGAAAATGTTTTTTATTGTATATATAGGTACATTTGTATTAATTTTTTATGATTTTTATTCGCATATTTACATCCGTATTAACTATTCAATGAGAACGATCCAAAGTATTCCAAAGTACACTGTTAAATATGTCATCAAATTTAATGTATTTTTAAGTTACATAAATTAAATTAAATTTTATGACTACATTAAATTTACACGTGTAATGGAAGCAAATTTCAAGTAGGCACATTAAAAATATTTAATGTATTGTCAATGAAAATAAAGTTACAAATAACTTAAATTTAACGTTTACTTACATTAAATTTTATACAAATCTACATAAAACTTAATAAAAAATGTACTAAACTTCGCAAAATTTTATGAAAAGTACACTAAATTTCATGTACATGTACACAAATATACTTTTCAGTTGCAGATACATTAAATTTAATTTAGTGTAATAAAATTGAATTTAATTTATGTAACTTAAAAGTATATTAAATTTCATGACATTTTTAACAGTGTGTATATAAGATAAAATCACTACAAATATTTCACGACGTATTGGATATACACAAGTACGCGAACGTGGATAATTATGGATAGCATCTTTAGTTGTGAGAACAATATCGATGGTATGTGTATATGTACTGTGTACATATGTCTGGACATTTAAATGGACATAAGAGGATTGTTTTTAGCTGAACTTTTGCACCAGTTCATCTTTTTTCTTCTCGTTTTCTCCTGAAGAGAAAAAGAAGAAAGATGAACTGATACATAAGTTCAGCCAAAAAGAACAGGCCTATGATTCATCGCAGTGTGCAACTGTACACGTGTTACTACAGGCACGCGAGAGAGAAAGATTGTCTTAAAGACAAATTGCGTTCTCGGAAAACTTCGTAGATTGCGTTTCTAGTAAAATTTCGATATCATGCGTAATAACTTCAAGTTGAAATCTCACGGTGTTACTATCAATAGAAAAATGTTACCTGAGTCTGCTAAAGCCTTATATCGTCATTCACGTTGAGAATCGATAGTGCTGCTGATACTATTAACTGATAATGGGATTGGAGTCATACCAACTTCTTTATCAGTGAGGTTTCATAATCATTTAGGAACAAATAGTGCGAAGAACGTGATTCATAATTATATACCTCCCATGCGCGTCATAACATTTCCACAAAATATTTAATGAAA